ATGCTTTCTCCATCTTGTAGTCTTAGAATAAGCAAGCACTTGCAATGACTTACAAACTATACAGGAACAATCTTGATTTCTGAAGCCAAAAGATAAACTTAGACCCAAACTGATCATTATAAACACTCCTCCAGAATTTAGATAGGTCATAAACCTAAGGGAAAACTTAAAGAGCACTGTTTTGGATTACACACACAAACACAAAAATTTAAGTTAGACACCAAAAGCAACATCTGTAGAAGGACAACTCAACAATTGTGATGGATCCCCATCACAATTATATAATCTCTGCTCCTCAAAAGATGGCCTGAAGGAAGGAAAGTGAGAGCCACAGACTGACACATCCAGCAAAGTAAAAAGACACAAGAACTGGGGCTGGAGAGGTGGCTCAGAGGTTAAGAGCACAGACTGCTCTTCCAGAGGTCCTGAGTTCAATTCCCAGCAACCACATGGTGGCTCACAACCATCCATAATGAGATCTGGTGCCCTCTTCTGGCCTGCAGACATAAATGGAGGCAGAATGTTTTATTCATAATAAATAATTCATAATAAATAAATAAATCTTTTAAAAAAAGACACAAGGACTGACGATGAAGATGAGAGAAATTAGAACCCTCAAAGACTGCTGATGGAGATTCAAATAGGTCAGTCACATCATAAAAAAGAAATCTTAAAAACTGAATATATAAAATACCTTGGGGTAATGTTAACCAAACAAGTGAAAGACCTCTATAGCAAGAACGTTGAGTCTTTAAAGAAAGAAATTAAAGAAGAAATTAAAGAAGACACCAGAAGGTGGAAAGATCTCCCATGCTCTTGGATAGGTAGGATCAACATAGTAAAAATGGCAATCTTACCAAAAGCAATATACAGATTTAACACAACCCCCATTAAAATCCCAGCACAATTCTTCACAGACCTTGAAAGAACAATAATCAACTTTGTATGGAAAGACCCAGGATAGCCAAAACAACCTTATTCAACAAAGCAACATCTGGAGGCATCACCATCACTGACTTCAAGCTCTATTATAGAGCTGTAGTCCTGAAAACATCTTGGTATTGGCACAAAAATAGACAGGTAGACCAATGGAATCAAATTGAACACCCTGATTTTAACCCATACATGTATGAACATCTGATTTTCGACAAAGAAGCTAAAAATATACAATGGAAAAAAGAAAGCATCTTCAACAAATGGTGCTGGCATAACTGGATGCTGGCATGTAGAAGAATGTGGATATATCCATGTCTATCGCCATGCACAAAACTTAAGTCCAAATGGATCAAAGACCTCAACATAAATCCAGCCACACTGAACCTCTTAGAAGAGAAAGTGGGTGGTACACTTGAACCAATTGGTACAGGAGACAGCTTCTTGAACATAACTCCAGTAGCACAGACAGTGAGATCAACAATTAATAAACGGGACCTACTGAAACTAAGAAGCTTCTGTAAGGCAAAGGACACAGTCAGCAAGACAAAATGGGAACCCACAGAATGGGAAAAGATATTCACTAACCCCACATCTGACAGAGGGCTAATCTCCAAATTTTACAAAGACCTCAAGAAGCAAGTCTCCAAAACACCAAAGGATCCAATCAAAAAATGGGGTACAGAGCTAAATAGAGAATTCTCAATAGAGGAGTCTAAAATGGCTGAGAAACACTTGAGAAAGTGCTCAATATCCCTAGCCATTTGGGAAATCAAATCAAAACAACTCTGAGATACCATCTCACTCCTGTCAGAATGGCTAAAATCAAAAACTCCAATGACAGTTTATGCTGGAGAGGATGTGGGGAGAGGGGAACACTCCTACACTGCTGGGAGTGCCGACTTCTACAGCCACTTTGGAAATCAGTATGGAGATTCCTCAGGAAAATGGGAATCAGTCTACTACAAAACCCAGAAACCCAGAAATTCCACTCTTAGGCATATACCCAAAAGATGCACATTCATACAACAAGGATGTCTGTTCCACTATGTTCATAGCAGCATTATTTGTAACAGCCAGAATCTGGAAGCAACCTAGATACCCCTCAACTGAAGAGTGAATAGAGAAAATGTGGTATATTTACACAATGGAATACTGTTCAGTGGAAAAAAACAATGGAATCTTGAAATTAGCAGGCAAATGGATGGCACTAGAAGAAACCATACTGAGTGAGGTAACCTAGTTACAAAAAGAGAAACATGGTATGTACTCACTCATTTATGGATTTTAGACATGAATCAGGGGAGTGCCAGCATACAATCCCACTGCCAGAGAGTCTATGAAACAGAACCTTCATCCAGTGACTGATGAATGCAGAGGCAGATACCCACAGACAAACACTGAACTAAACTCCTGGAATCCAATGTCAGAAAGAGAGGACTGATGGGCAATGTAGTTAAGACTGGGCTGGTTTAACCCACAGAAACAGTTCACCTGAACAAGGGGGAGCTCTTGGGCCCCAGGTTGATGGCTGTGTGGAAAGCATGGGGCTGACCCAGACCCCCTGAATGTGGGTGTCAGTGAGGAGGCCTAGGTAATCTATGGGGCCTTGGGTAGTATTTATTCCTGGTGTACAAATAGACTCTGAGTGCCCATTCCACAATATGTGAGGCTCTCTCAACCTGGACTCTTGTGGGAGGGCTTAGGCCCTGCCCTGGACGAAATGACAGACTCTGGAGATCCATCATGGAGGGCCTCACTCTCCTTGGGGATCGGAGTGGAGATTGGGTGGGGGACTGGGGGACCTGGTGAGGAGGGCGGGGAGAAGGGGAGGGAGAGGGAGCTGGGATTGATATGTGAAACAAGATTGTTTCTAACCTAAATAAAAAAATAATAATTTTTTAAAAACTGAATATATAAATAGTCAGCAGTAAGAAACAATAACACCCTAAAATTACAGGCAAGTGGAAAGAACTAGAAAAAAAACATCCTGAGTGAGGTAACCCAGAATCAGAAAGACAAATATAGTATGTACTCACTTATTAGTGGATACCAGACATGAAGCAAAAGATACCCAGCGTACAATCCACAACCCCAGAGAAGCTAGAACCCTCTTCCAGAAACAGATGGAAGCAGAGGCAGAAATCCACAACTAATCAATGGGCCAAGCTCCTGGAGTACAATTGAACCGAGGGAGGAGCGATAATATGAACAAAGGAGTCAAGACCATGATGGGGAAACCCACAGAATCAGCTGACCCAAGCTAATGAGAGATCACTGACTCAGGTCTGACAAATGGGAAACCTGCATAAGACTGAACTAGACTCCCTTAATATAGGTGACAATGGTGCAGCTCAGACAATATATGAGGCCACTGGCATTGGGTCCAAGATGTAATTCTAACACACAAGCTGACCTAGCAGAGTTCATTCTACATGGAGAGATTACCTTGCTCAGTCTAGACACAGGTGTAGGGTGGAGAGGTGCCTTGGTCCTGCCTCAGTGAGATGATGGCGCAGACTTACTAGGTTTCCTAGTGGAGGCCTTACCCTCTCCAAGGTACAGACAGGAGGTCATGCAGGGAAGTGGGGGAAGCAGGAGAAGAGATGGGAGGGGGAACTGGGACTGGAATGTAAAAAATAAATAAAAAGCAAAAAAAAAAAAAAAAAAAAAAAGCCGGGCGGTGGTGGCGCACGCCTTTAATCCCAGCACTCGGGAGCAAAAAAAATTAACATATATATATATATACGTATATGGTATATACATGAGTCAATAATTACACTCCCAAGCCATCTACTCAAAAGAAATGAAACACACTCATGTAAGTCTGTAAAAGACAAACTGTGACATTATTTATAGGGGCAGCACTGCTTACAAGGGTTCCAAAGTGGAAACAACCCAAACACGCACCCACAGATCAACAAACGCCAAGGCTGCAAAGTATTCATTCAATAAAATAGTAAGAAAAAGAAACGACATTGAGATAGATGCTGAAAGAACCAGGACCCACAATGTGATTCATATCACATAAAACTGCTATACGGAAACTAGCAGCGGCTCCTTGGGGACAGAGGAAAACACCTCCCAGGGGGTGCGAGGAAACGTCTTGGGTGATGGTTATTTCCACTATTGTGACTATGACCAAGTCACAAGTACGCACATTCCTAAATGATGTCAAAGCTTTACATTCGCACAGCTTACTGTAATCTAGTTACGCCCAGGAAGGGGGACAACTATTGTCTGAAGTCTTCAACTTCTGGGGCATCTCCTTCAGGAGAAAATTTTGCTCGCAGTCTTCCCAAGCAATTTTTTTTTTTGGTTTTACGAGACAGGGTTTCTCTGTATTGTTTTGGAGGCTGTCGGTCCAGCGTGGCCTCGAACTCACAGAGATCCGCCTGTCTCTGCCTCCCGAGTGCTGGGATTAAAGGCATGCGCCACCACCGCCCGGCCTTCCCAAGCAATTTTAAAAAGGCAAGCGCGGTGTGATCCACCTGTCTACACAACAAGCCCACGACTTGGTCCAGTCTAGAAAAGGAACCTTCAATGCCACCAACCCAAGCCCTAGTTCTTTGGAGAAGGCACACTGGGGATTCTTAGGAGATGGTGGTAGAGGTGATCACACCTGATGTCTAGGGGTGGGGGATGGGGTGATGCAGACACATGCTGGTGACACTTCCTGGGGTAACAGGCACAGATGCTCCAGGCGTCTTCCCGGGGTGGGGGAGAGATGCCTGCTGGGGGGGTGTGTGAGCACTTCTGGAATCTCCCAGGCCAGGAGGCAGACTCGAGCTGGGCACACGGGGGTGTCAGGGGGTGTGTCCACACCCGAGGGCTTCCCAGGACGTGGGGACAGACGCAATCTGGGAACCACGGGTGTAAGGGGAAGGGACATCCAAAGGTCTTGTAGGGCTGGGGACACTGGCAAAGGGGGAGAGGGCGTCCTCCCTCGCCATCTCCCGGGGCAAGGGGCAGGCACAAGCCCCGAGGGCACCAGGGTGTAAGGGCGACGCGGCCACCCTGAGGCTGCCCCGGGGAGGCCCCCATCCTCGCCCCGGGCGCCCGCCCACCTGCATGTTCCTGAGCAGCTGGAAGATCTCCATGGTGCGGTACACGATGTCCTGCACCGTCTCCTGCCCGATGCGGCACAGCGTGGCCGTGTTGACCTCCCGCGCCGCCTGCTGCGCCTGCGGGCCGCCGAAGGGCCCGGACGCCATGCCCCCGGGCGCCAGCGGAGGGGTGGACATGGCACTGGGCGGCCGCTCCGGCCCCGGGGAGACACCCGGCTCGGCGGATTTCAAACCAGCGGCGCCACTTCCGCCCGCAGCGACGCGCGCGTCATCCAGGAAGATCCCACCCCCTCCCAGCCAGGCGCCACGCGAAGCCGAACGCGATTGGGCGACGAGGCAAGACGGACGGGAAGGTAACCAATAAGCTGTGGCGTTCCGGCCAGAGAGGGGCGGTACCAGTGTGGGAACGCGATTGGGCTACGCGTCACAGAGCGGCAAGACGGACGGGAAGATAGCCAATCACCAGTGGAGTTCCTGTCCAGGAGGCGGTACCAGTGATGGATTGGACTGTCGTCTTCTTAGAGCGCCAGTTTGCATTGGGTTCTTGTGGAGCCTTTTCTCCTAAGGAAACTACGAGGTGTTTCTAATTATTGTCCTTTGACAGATAGGGTGCAGGCTCAGCGGGCTGAAGTACTTGTCTTGTCCACTGTGTATGTGTAGCTTGCACTGACAGTCCGCTGTGCAAAAACAGAAAATACGATTTCTATTCTTGTATACTGAAGTGTAATAAGAAACCGTGATTGCGTTTGTTCCCCGCTCGAATATTTTCGAAGTTTCTCTAAGCAACACACGCGCACACGTACACTGCTGTCTGATTTGAAACTGCAGTAACAATCACTGATAGGAGGACCCCAATTTGACCCGAAATTGCAGAATACCAGGCCCCAGACAACTAATTCTCTACATTTCCTATTCATATCTATCTATCTGTCTGTCTGTCTATCTAAATTAGACATAGTAAGACGTTAATGGTAGTATAAGTATAGCAATGTATTGTCACAGTTATTTCAAACTTGGCAAGTATTTCTAGAAATTTTAATTTAATGGTTTTGAACCATAGTTCACCTAAGCGACATAAAATCACAAAAAGTGAAATCTCAAGTAAAGGAGGGTTGCAGTACTACCTGATATTGTTTGTTTCCTTCCCAATGTCCCCTTACTCTATGAACATGCTAAAATGCAATTTCAGTACAAACAGACTCGTTCCATTTTATTCGCCCCCTACAGTCTCAGGACTTAATGATAGCCACATTGAAATGTCTCAGTAAGTAAATTACTAAATGATTTTTTTTTTTTGGTATTTACAAGACAGGGTTTCTCTGTATTGTTTTCGAGGCTGTCGGTCCAGACCAGCCTTGAACTCACAGAGATCCGCCTGCCTCTGCCTCCCGAGTGCTGGGATTAAAGGCGTGCGCCACCACCGCCCGGCACTAAATGATTTTTAAATAGCACAAGGAATATAAGAGCAACTATAAAAAAGAAAAAGAAACAGCCGGGTGTTGGTGGCACACACCTTTAATCCCAGCACTCGGGAGGCAGAGGCAGGTGGATCACTGTGAGTTCGAGACCAGCCTGTTCTACAGAGCAAGTTCCAGACAGGCTCCAAAACAATACAGAGGAACCCAGCCTCGGAAAAAAAAAAAGAAAGAAAAGAAAAGAAAAAGAAAGAAAAAATCCTCTTTCAGCTTACTACATATTTCAAATAAAAAAAAAAGAGTCAAGAATGTGAAAATTGGTATCAGGGACAAAAATGAATGCATCTTGAGAAGTATATAATTCAGACTTTCCAGAAAATGGTTACTAAAAGTACCATGGAAAACACTGTAGAGCAGTGGATTTGAACCTTCCTGTGAACCTTTAACATAGCCCCTCATGTTGTGGTGATCTACAACAATAAAATTATTTAGGTGATAATTCGTAATTGTAATTTTGCCACAATCATAATGTAAACAGGCAGGATGTCTGTTGTGCCACCCCCAGAGGGGTCGCAACCCACATGGTGAGAACAATGGCTATAGAGATTTATTCATTAATCTGCTGCTCTGGTGATCAGTTATTAGCAGACAAGCATTTATTATCTACTGTATACTGAGTGCTAGGATAGAAATATTGTAGTGAAAAGGTTTGCTTAAAAACTGCTCTCACATGGACTAAACCCTAATTACTGTGATGAGTGTATTGAAGTGAAAATCTGAGGTCATGTTATCAGGAGTCCAACTCTTTAGTGCAGCTCGTACAAGATGAAGGGAGTAATCTGGGACTTAAATTAGATGAAAAGGGAGTGCTAACTATGCCCAAATCATAGCACTGGAGACCCAGAAGACATTGCCAACACTTGAAGGACTGCTTCCCATGATGTAGAAGAAATTTAATATGAGGACAAGTGTTGGGAAATATGATTGAAGATAGGTCGGGGGACTTAACACAGTGTAAAGGAGCTCTGACTCTGAGTGAAAAACAAGTCAATGAGGTGTTTTGAGGTGAGAGATCTAAACACACGGAATCTTCAGGGCTGGGGAAAAGTTTATCACAGCATTAGGAAAGGCTTACTTTTGCTGTTCGGTGGGGAGGGGCTGGTGGGTAACTATTGCCTCCCTCTTTCCTGAAAGACATTGGCACTGATGATCTGAGTTAGGGACGGGCACAGTGGATGACTTGGTGGCGAAAATGTAGAGAACTTGACGTTGTCCATGATAGACTGGTACACATGGAGAAGAAGGAAGGAAGGAAGGAAGCACTCACTTGGGACCTGAAATAATGGGTGGAGCCTCTGTCATTTACCAAGATAGGATGCACTGCAGAAAAAGCAAACTTCAAAGAAGCTGTGTGTCCTCTTGCTTTCCTAATGCTGTGATTAAACCTTTACCCCAGCTACGAGTTTTAGAGCGCAGATCCCTGAACCAACTCCAGATGTTGGCAGGGCCATGACCTTTTCTAAACTATCAAGGAGTTTCTGACTTCTTGTCTTTTCCAGTTTCTAAGAGTGGCATCCGTTCTGTGCCTTGCAATCTTCTTACCTGCTCAACACCCAACGCCTGGCATCTTTAAAACCACCGTTGACGCCTCAAGGTTCTCTCACAATGCCATCTCTGCTTCTGTGTCCTCTGCTTTCCTCTTCTCCATTCAAGTATCTTATGTTTGCTTTGGAACCCCCCAAACAGCTCAGGATACCTTTTAGTTTTAAGATCAGACTTCTCTGCACCTTCAATTCCCCTTACTACTTTAATCTCCAGCCCCCTTAGCATGTAATATATATTCATAGATTCAGAAGTAACTATTTTGGGAAAGTAGATATTCTGTTCACTACTTACCTCCGCTCCAAACTTTTCTGTTGCTGTAATAAAAAGCCATGACCAGGACAATGTATAGAAGGGAGGATCTGTCTGGGCTTATGGTTTCGGAGGGATAAGAGCAGGTAGGCATGGTGAATGGAGCAGTGAGCTGAGAGTTCACATCTTGAACCATGAACAAACGCACGCACCACAGAGAGAAGGAGGATAAAGAGAGGAGAGGAGAGGAGAGGAGAGGAGAGGGGAGAGAGAGAGAGAGAGAGAGAGAGAGAGAGAGAGAGAGAGAGAGAGAGGAGAGAGGAGAGAGGGGGAGGTGCCAGCAGATAAGAAAGATAGAAAATATACAAGAGAGAAAAAAATTGGCATGAAGAGGTCTTGCACAAGCTTGGCGATAAGTACAACATCTTATCCAGGTAGGAAATGGGACAAAGTCAGCAAAAACTGTCTTGCTATGGGATTAAGTCAACGGGAGGCTATTTCAAACAATGTTGCACAAAGAGAACATAAGCTGTCTTAAGTACCTCACAGACCCAGTACACAGTGGTCTTGGTACTGTTGGAACCAATGACTACAGCTCCTAAGGTGGGGGGAGTTGATTTCTCTAAGGCCCCCACTCCTGGCCACCATTGCCAGCTCTGCCAAGTATGGTCCCGGTTTTGAGGAGGAGCTATGTTTCATCTCCACACATCAGGGTTTCCCTCGGGGAAAGTCCCAGTTGATCAGTTCAACCACAGACAGAGAGGGAGAAGGAGGGGAGAGAGGAGAGGGGGGAGGGAGAAGAGGGAATGGGGGGAGGAGAGAGGGAGAGAGAGAGAGATACCCACCTTTGCAGCTCTGAAATGTGTCACTAGTGTTCAAATACAGTAGTCTATGTGGATACTTTTACACAACCCACAGCCACAGAAGAGCTCCACTAGATGAGAAGTTCATCACAGGTTTTATCAGCCTCGTATAATCTGCTGGCAGTGTCACTGTCACACTGTTTCTCAGAAGTCCTGGAGAACCTTTCTGCTCCCATCATTAGAAATCCAGCACCTTGTATTTGTAGGATGACCAATATCCCCATTTTATCACTGGTTCTAAGTCAAGCTTGCGTCTGGAAAATGCTATATATTCATTGACCGGTGACCCATGGCTAGCAAAGACAGCCACGGCCATTGAATCTCTCATTCTTTATTTTTTTTCAAGACAGGGTTTCTCTGTATTGTTTGGAGGCTGTCCTGGAACTCACTCTGTAGATCAGGCTGGCCTCGAACTCACAGAGATCCGCTTGCCTCTTCCTCCCAAGTGCTGGGATTAAAGGTGTGCACCACCAACACCCAACGTATACTGTGTTTTCTTTCACTGTGCTTCACAGTATGGTGATGATGAAATTTTCCCAGGACAGGGCTACAGGAACACTAAGAGACAGAAAGGGGAACAAGAACAACCATGATAGCAAAAGCTGGGACCAGCTGGAGAGATCCAAGGAATCAAGGCAGTATCATGCCATGAAGGAAAAACTACTCCAAGACGTAGCTAATGCTGGAGAGTGTTATAAATGACTAAGATTAGGAAATGACAAAAGCACAGTGATTGGTGCTAACTGTCAACTTGACAGGCTCTAGAATCACCTGGCAATGAGCTTTGGGCATGTGTGGATGGCCAATGACTCACACTAAGAATGCTGGGAAAAGGTAGTAGGATATTTATTCAGATAGAGAGAAGTAACTTACATGGGAAGCTGGGAAGCTCCCTGAAACGTAGCCAGCATCCAAGGAGAGAGCTCCAGGTGGCCCTCTCTCTCCATTTATCCCCTCTCCCTCACATATTGTAGCCATGCCTGCTGGGGTGTGGCTAAAGCTGCAGGTATGTCTCTCCCTACAGGCATGCATATTTGAGATTATTTTGATTACAGTAAATAATATAGAAAGACCCATGGTGATTGATGGCAAGACTATTTTTGAACAAGACTCCACAAAACAGAGAAAGTG